TTGGCTGAGGGTGGATTTCTACTCAGACATTTATTTATTTTTTTCTGGTGGATTATAAAATTGCAGTGCAAAAGAGGAACCTGGGCCCTGGCAAGGTTGCACATTTGGTTGGACTGAGGTTATTCTCTGTTGGGTGGTGTGCTCATCTTGTATAAAACTGGGAGATGGAAGAGGTTGTTTATGGGGCGGTGGGATGGGTTGAGGACACTAGCATTTCTTAAGTATTTACTGTATTTTAGATACGTTAATGTATGTTAAATCATTTATAGTTTCATAATAGCCTTCTCAATTAGGCGATTTTAGCTCTATTTTACAGTGAAAAACTCAGAGGAATCTTGTAATTTGTAGCTTGTTAGTGACAGAGCTTGGAATAGACTCTGGATCGTCTCATGCTAAAGCCTGTTTTCTTTCTTTTTTTTTTATCCTTTTTGTCTTTTTTACTGACTGGTAATGGGATCGCAACCCTTGGTGTCGCGCCCGTACCGGGGACCGGCAATGGGATTGCAACCCCTGTTGTTGCGCCAGAATGGGATCGCAACCCTTGGTGTCGCGCCCGTACCGGGGACCGGCAATGGGATCGCAACCCCTGTTGTTGCGCCAGCACCACGCTCAGCCAGTGAGCGGGAACCGGTCTCCACATGGGATCCGAACCCTCGGCGGGAGCGCCGCTGCGCTCCCAAGCGGCGCACTCTCCAGTGCACCACCGGGCCGGCCCTGTTTTCTTTCTTGTAAAGAAAGAGGTTGAGTCATCGACTTCAGGTTGATGAGTTCTGATAATTCACTTTATCTTATAAACATTGTAACAGTTTATGCCTAGGAGATGCTCACTCATCTGTTTATCCCCTTTCTTTTCTGCTTCCAGAATACTCAGGGGCCTCCAGCTGGCCACTCATAGGATCACAGGTTGTGTGGAGAGGCACAGCAAAAAATTTTGAATCAGACAGAACTGTTGTCAAATGCCAGTTCTTCCGCTTGGTAGCTTAGTGACCTTGGGCAAGTTTCTTAACTACTCTCAGCTTCATTTTCTTTAGTTGTAAAATATAAGCAATATATATCTCCCAGGGTTGTTGAGTGGATTAACTGGGGTACATAAAGCACATGGCCCCAGTGCCTGGCATCCAGTAAATGTCCCATCAGTGGGAGTTACTGACTGACACAACTAGAGGTAGGGAAGGGGAAGCATCATTCTTCTAGCTATCCATCTCTTCAGTGTGACATTCTAGCTCCTTTTGGTTTCTCCACCTTGGTTTTCCATTTTCTCTTTAAGTTATAGCTCTGGAATAATCTGTTTAGCTCTTTCCGATGAATTCTCACATTTTGGCAAATTTAGTTACATCTGGTGTCATTTAAGGTCCTTTATGACACATACTTAAAACAGGCCATGGGAAGAAAACTACTTGAAAACAAACTGGAATCAATAGAAAATAGATTAATATGATTCCTAGTGTATAAGAGAGGACAGGCTATTACCCTGAGTAGTTAGTGTGGTTTACAGCAAGCTAGTTTCAGAAATAGTCACAGCTGTTAGTGATCAATGGGTCCCCACAGGATCGTGAGTGTCAACCAATATTAGAAAGCTCCAGCTGGTTTTTCTTTAAAGGTTTCAGTGTCTCCCTGAGATACACATAAACATTAATAAGCCTGGGCCTTGGCTACTGTGTGAGGAATATATGGTAAATATATTCCTACTATGGGAGGAAAAGCTCAAGAAGATAAAAATAAATCTCCCAAGGTGACTTAAAGTTAGTGGCCCTGAAGCCATGGATGAGCCCGTCGTCCTTGCTGCCCTCCTGAGAGGCTTGAGCCTTTCCATAAACAGCAGCTCTGTAAACATCTGCAATGAAGAGACAGTGCCAAGAGTAAAGCAGCAGGTCTCTTGTCCCCATAAACAGCAGCTCTGTAAACATCTGCAATGAAGAGACAGTGCCAAGAGTAAAGCAGCAGGCCTCTTGTCCCCTGTATTAGTCCATTTCTGTTGCTTATAACAAAATACTTGGAACTGGGTAATTTATAAAGAAAAAAAAATTATTGCTTACAGTTTCTGAGGCTGGGAAGTCCAAAGTCCAGGGAGAACAGCTGATGAAGGCCTTGGTGATGACAGTACCACAGGAGTCTCACATGACAGAAGATGGCGGAGCAGAGAGAGAGTAGAGGGAGAGAAAGACAGACTCTCCTCTTCTTTTAAAGCCCTCAGAACCACGCCCCTGACCACCATTTTTAATCCATTCACTACTGCATGGTCCTACAATTTAATCACCTCTGCAAGGCCCCACCTTTCAATTACCGTAATAGGATTTCCCATCCTCTTAACAGCCACAGTGAAGGCCACGTTTCTAATATGTAAAACATGGGGGACACAATTCAAGCTCTAGTGAGTTTTGGGGGGACATAATTCAGTCCACTACATCCCCCAAAGGCAACGTGCATTTTTATTTAAACCTATGGGCCTACCCAGGGCTGAAGTGTGATGGAGGCCCATGTCTCAGTCAGGTAAATCAGAGACCAGCTGCGCAGGTGGGGGGGGGGGGCTTTTAACCATGGGAATGAGGATGTTAACTGGGCCAGGAAGTTTTCTTGGTTTAATCTGAATTAATTCACGTCTCAAAGTCCATTCCCCAAATCTTATTCCAAAAAAGGGAAAGGCAAAGACTCCTGGAGGAATCCCTGTGAAATGGGAGGGAGAGCATGGGCTCTGGGCCAGAATGCCTGGATTTGGGTCTGGACCTCAATTCCTGCTTATTGAGGGCCCTGGGGCAAGTGACTGTCCCTCTCTAAACCTCAATTTTCTCACCTGTAAAATAATGCTACCTTCCCTCCCACCCCATCCCCAACCAGTCTCCATTTCTCTTTCTCAATGTCTTGCCCATTCTTTAAAGTTCATTGAGATGCTTTTTCAGTTCAGATCCCTGAAGCCTTTTTCTGAGTTTCCCTCCTTTTTACTCTGGCCACGCTGTGACTGTGCCACCCCTCTCTTCTGGAATTTCCTATATCATAATCATAAATGCACTTTGATTCAGTAAACAGGAATAAGACCTCTGAGAACAGAGACTAAACCTTTCACCCTTTGCACAATGTCTTCAGTAGCATGCTTTCAAAAAGCTGTGAGTTGAATGAATGAAAAACAAAACCTGGGCAGTTACCATCGAGCAGGCACTGGGCAAAATGCTTTGCATAGACCATCTCATTTAATCCTTACCAAACTGTGTGAATAAGACACAATGGTTTTTGACATTTTTAGATGAGTAAATTTCATTTTATGAAGGTTAGGTCATGCTGTTGTAAAGTACTAAGATTCAAACCAAATCACCCTTGGCCAATCTGGTGAATATGAGGGAATAAGGATATATATGTGGTGGTCTAGGCAATTATGTATATGGATTTATTTAATTTTCACAATCCCATGAAGTAGATAGTGTTATTATCCCCATTTCATGGATGAGAAAACAAAGGCACAGAGAGTTTAAGTAATTTTCTTGGAATCACATAGCAGGGTAGTAAAGCTGGGATTCAAATTTAGGCAGATTATTTTTGACTTTTCGATTAAACTCTTTATACCTGGGTAAGTACTTCTTTTGGTGACTTCTTAAGGAAGAAAATAGACACTGAGGTTTGTTGAGGTTGTATGGGACAGCCTCATATTGTTTACTATGGTGGCTGAATAATTAGTTTCCCTCTAGTTTCTAAAGTATAATTTCCTATATTTTATGCAGGAAACTGAAAACAATGTAAAGATAGCCTAATCCATGAATCTCCAGTAATAGTCAAGGTTTTATGAAAGATGAAGATTTCAAAACCAAATCAAAAAATAAATTTTTATCTAGCAGAGCCTGTCCTGATTTCTTGTCTTCACAATTGCGTGAGAATTTATTGGTTGTTTCTTCTCATCTTTTCTTCCGGGGCAGTTATTAGATGGTTAAAAGAAAACCTGACAAAATAGCAACAACTTCTGCTTGTAACCCCTCTCCAAATTCCCGTCTCCCAAATGGAAATTTAAATTATTCCCACATGGTCAGGCGTGCTCCATACCCCTGGCTAAACTGGGGGCCCATGGGTTGAGCAGGGCATGCAGTTTTACAGCTACTGACCTTGCTGGTGACTTCTCTTTACGTTCGTTTAAGTTTCTTTGTAATATAAGGAACAAGGTGGCTGTAATTTAGGAGCTTTGTGTCAGGAACCAAGGTCAAAGACCAAATATTACAAGATGAATCTATACCACTATCACTCAGGAAATTCCAAGGGTTTTAGGAGTTCTGTGGCAGGAAACGGCCAAAGACCAAAATATGTATTTCTTATAAATCACAATATCACATTAACCTATTTATTCTGGGGGATATGAAAACATATTACACATCATATCTCTTCTTACCCTCTAGGGTCCTCTAATGATAGAATGATCCAGACGTCCTCACTATCCCCACGATCTCGCTACTGCACTTGCCCTTTTGTTTGCATATGATACAAAAATTATATTGAATCAATAAGAACTCCGAGAATTTGTATGTTTAGGCAGAGTAAATTCTAGAAGAGATACCATTTCTTTTCCAACAGGTCAGGGTGAGAAAAAATGGATTGTGGTAGCTTTTTGAAAAATGTTAGTGAAAAACCTAGTGAATTGGTGGGGGTCGGTGGGATGGAGGGCTGAAATAGGGGTCAGGATGAGGATGCTATTCCAGGGTGGGATGTGCCCTAGGAGAACCCCAGAGGCAAGAGTGAAATGATTAAATAGTTGCAGAAGAGCAAATTTTCTTGGTAGGTGTAGGAGGAGATGATTTGAGGAACTGAGTGATAAAAGTAAATAAAGACTCAAGTCACGAGGTCTTTACCTCATATCTTTGGGGTCATACCCATGACCTTGTTCATACCTCTGATTCAATGAGAAGCTGCTGTAGGCCTTAAAGAAGTGGTGGAGAACTGAGTGATAAAAGTAAATAAAGACTCAAGTCACGAGGTCTTTACCTCATATCTTTGGGCTCATACCCATGACCTTGTTCATACCTCTGATTCAATGAGAAGCTGCTATAGGCCTTAAAGAAGTGGTGGTTGGAAAAACCCCTTGAATCCAATGTAGAGGTGTGATGAAGGAAATCGTGGGCAGCTCATTGAATGTGTGATTCATAGATGAGATACAGTCAAGACCTAGTCCGTGGCTTGTGCTGTAGGAGAGGAACAAACAGGAAGTGTAGGGTAATGTGTTCATGTTCATTCACTTTCTGCTTGGTCTTAACAATGACTTTCACTTTGGCTTTCTTTACCATATTTTGTCCTTTGTTATTTGCAGGGTCTCTGCCATAATAAATAGAATAATAACTATTCCAGAAGGGCAGCATATCTGTTCTGCCATTTTGGGGTAGAAGTGGTATGTTTCCCCCTTAACACCATCAACTGTTAGCCATCATTGTCGCAATAATGTTAATATTATGAATACCCATGGCTTGCTTGTGATTTTTTACTTTTCTGCTATACCATTGATGCTTATGATGTCTACTTTTTTTCCACAAATTACTTCTTTCACCCTCTTCGGCTTGGCCTTTGCTTGGGAGGATGAACAAAAGTTTGGTTTTGGTTTAATGACACTGAATTCCTTCAAGAAAGTTTTAGTCATGCAGCCAAGAAATTTTCTTCCATTGCTTTCTCTCTCATAGTCCGTTCAATTTTACCTTCCATGTACAGTACAATTTTATTTCATTTCTTTTCATTTACTATGGAAGGCTGATGTGATCCAGATTCAACAACCCATTTAATTCCATCATTCTTTAAGGTGTTAAAATTTACCCAAAGCGGCACTTCAGTAGAATTGCTAATATTCTGCACACAAACTCTCATACTGATATTTACTGGGATATAAGGAAGGATTGATGAATAGTACCCCTGTCTTCTGTTTTTGATTTATAACCTATGAAATAAAAGACACAGGAGTTAAAAAAAAAAAAGAAGATAAAATATCACTACTAATAAAGTTGATTCTAGACATGCCTTGACCTGTGGTCATCTGGGTTTCCTAATTTAATCCCTACTCCTCCAGTTGAAACTTACCTGACTACTCACAGGTTACCCTTCTGTCTCTCTTGCAGATATATCTCCTCTCACAGTAAGAATTTCCTATTTCCCCTTCTTGATTAACAGGAACTGCCCCTACATCTTGTTCTCCTTCTGTCCGAGGTAGTATTTGTCTTCTTCTCTAGGGTAAAAAAATAAGGGCTGTGGAGAAAGAAACAATTTCTAAGAAGGACAGATGTGCTAGGAGGTATTTAAAAAATATTCCCATTGCACCCATGATGCAAATGGCATTTGGTCATAATTCTGTCTCTACTCTCTGTCTGCCACCCCCACCCCACATTTGCTTCCCCAGAACAGATAGAGCCTATTCTTTTTTTACTTCTCTCACCCTCTTAGGCTTGGCCTTTGCTTGGAAGGAAGAATAGAAGCCATCGGCTCATGAGATCTTCAGAGGGTCCATGGCAATGTGATCCCTGAGCCACAGGCTTAGTGTCTAGAGCAGTCAGATGCTTGTGAGAATCCATACAATGTGTCTGTGAGCAGGATGAATGACTGCAATCAGTGAAGCGAGGAGTGTAGATTTTCCAGGTCTAATTATAAGATTTTGATACGTTCTGTAACTCCACATACTGAGGCAGAAAACTAAGTAACCCAACTTAGTAAGACAGACAGGGAAAAAATCCATTTTTATCTCAAGCACTGGTTGAGCGCTCTCATAAACTCATCAGGTTTAATGATGTTTATTTCCTGTCTTCTGAAAAAAATGTGAAATGGAGAAATTATGACTATTAAGCAAGTTTCCCTAAGATCTGTGTGTTCTTTTTCCAGAAAGAGGAAATTCATGTGTGTCAACAGTTGAAACAAGTCACTTTAAAATTCATGCAGGAATCTTTCTAAAAATTGTGCTAGCTGCTGTATGGTGCTGCTGAAAGAGAAATCAAGAAAGCCTGCCCATTCACAATAGTCGCCAAAAAAATAAAATACCTAGGAATTGAACTAACTAAGGACGTGAAAAATCTCTATAACGAGAACTATAAACCACTCCTGAGAGAAATTAGAGAGGATACAAGAAGATGGAAAGACATCCCATGCTCCTGGATTGGAAGAATCAATATAGTGAAAATGACTATACTACCCAAAGTAATATACAAATTCAATGCAATCCCCATCAAAATTCCAATGACATTTCTCTCAGAAATGGAAAGAACTATACAGTCATTTATCTGGAATAACAAAAGACCAAGAATAGCCAAAGCAACGCTGAGCAAAAAAAAATAAAGCTGGAGGTATTACTCTACCTGACTTTAAACTATACTACAAAGCCACAATAACCAAAACAGCATGGTACTGGTACAAAAACAGAGACACTGATCAATGGAATAGAACAGAACACCCAGAAATCAACCCACGCACTTACTGCCATTTGATCTTCGACAAAGGCACCAAGCCTATTCACTGGGGTCAGGACTCCCTCTTCAGCAAAGGGTGCTGGGATAACTGGATATCCATATGCAGGAGATTGAAACTAGACCCATACCTCTCACCATGTACTAAAATCAACTCAAAATGGATCAAGGATTTAAATATACACCCCGAAACAATAAAACTTATTAAAGAAAACATAGGAGAAACCCTTCAGCAAATAGGGCTGGGCACAGACTTCATGAATATGTCCCCAAAAGCACGGGCAACCAAAGGAAAAATAAACAAATGGGACTATATCAAACTAAAAAGCCTCTGCACAGCAAAAGAAACAATTAACAGAGCTAAAAGACAACCAACAGAGTGGGAGAAAATATTTGCAAAATACACATCCAACAAAGGACTAATATCCAGAATATATAAAGAACTCAAACAACTTTACAAGAAAAAAACAAGCAACCCAATCAAAAAATGGGCAAAAGAACTAAGTAAGCATTTCTCTAAAGAAGATATGCAAATGGCCAACAGTCATATGAAAAAATGCTCAACATCACTCAGCATCCAGGAAATGCAAATCAAAACCACACTGAGATACCATCTCACCCCAGTTAGGATGGCAAAAATCCAAAAGACACCGAAAGATAAATGCTGGCGTGGCTGCGGAGAAAAAGGAACTCTCTTACATTGTTGGTGGGAATGCACAATGGTGCAACCCCTATGGAAAATGGTTTGGAGGTTCCTCAAACAGTTGCAGACAGATCTACCATATGACCCAGCTATCCCACTGCTGGGAATATATCCAAAGAA